GATATTTTGTCAGATTGCTCCCTTTTGATGGCTTCTCTCCGCACAAGCTTGTGTTGTTTTAGGGTTTCTTACTATAGTTTGAGTGTTAGTTTGCTGAACATTTATTCCATAGTGATATGGCTAAGGTAGTGCTACAAGATGAAAGATTGGTTTACATATTTAAATTGGAATAAGTTCTAGATATAGCCTCTTGTATCATCTTGTGGTGAACGGTGATGTCCCTGGCCTTGTTCGTTGGACCACATGTTTATTAATTAAAGATTGGTAGCGGTCTACCTGTTTGACAAAAGGAATGGATCCCAGAAGAATGGATTCTATGTATTTGCTAATGATGTTACTAGCTATTTGCCGACCCAGGTTTTGTCATGTTCACAACCAAAGATAAACAATTTTGACAACAAAGGTTATCAGGATATTTGCCATATGTGTCACAAGGCAGTTTCTCTTGATTCTTTGAGCAAATTTGCCACATACCCTATTATATCCTCTTCAGTGCTGTCTCCCAGTGTTAAAGTTGTTAATTTCTTGAGCTGGACTATTCTTGTTAGCACTGTGGATATATGATTGATACAGCTGACCTGGTTAATTTGGATGGATCATAGTTGATTGATTGATTGATTTGTTTCTGTTTCACTTGTCCTATTCACATGGACAAATCTCTATTGTTATTAATTGGTTTTTATTTATCTTTGTTGATAACCTAAACAAACTAAGGCCGTGTAATTTTATTTCCTACATCCAAAAGGAAAAACAGAAAAGAATCTGGGTGTTGCTTGTATCTAGAAAAATCCTTTAGGTGAGACTTTACTCATTATTAAATATGTTTGTATGTTTTTTGGGGGGAGGGGTGTGTTTGAGGCGTCGGGGTCTGTAGGTGTCTCTGTAGATACACCTTGCTTGTTGCTCAATGGATGTTGTAGGAGAAAGTAACACATGATATGATTTGATTCTATAGATTAATTGTTTTCCAGTTCAAGGTGCACAAGGAACTTTATAAAAAAAAAAAAGGTGTGTGAAATATGCCGGACAAGGGGAAAGGGGGTTTACCTTTTCCACTTATCACTCATGGGACATGTACTGTAATAACAGACGATCTATCTTTTAATCTCTCTTTGGGGTGCAGGAACATCTGGTATTGCTACTTCTGCAACTGAAGAAATTCATCCCATTACATCTGGGCTACCATCTTCTACGACATTCACCACTCCTGTTTATAGAAGAGAGGCTCAATCTAATTTTCCATCTACTCCAGCTGTTTCTGTCCCATTCAATAGGAAGGTTACTGGGCCTACCTTTTCATCTGATGCAGCTAGTCATGCAGAGGATATCCATATGGCTGACATGACCACCGAAGGCATTGATGTTCCAATTAGAAGGGAACATAATGACCCTGTCCTTTCATCTTCTTACTCCATGGAAGTGGAGGAACTTCTGTCAGATGTTAGAAGTGACCCTGCCACACCTGCCAGTAGCAGGAGCAGAGGAAGTGTCCGTGTCTCTGGCGGTAGTGTCCATAATGAAGATGTAACACCAGATACATTGTCTACTGCAGCAATTGACATTGATGAAATTGATTTGGTTGATGAATTGGACCATCCATATATACTTTCTGGAGGGAAGGAAAACCCTTTCACTTACTTAGCTAGTCTGTCAGCTAAGCAGGCTGGTATGAATGGCAGGGCTTCCACTGTTACAGGAAAAATTAAGGTAACTTTTTCTCTCCCTCGTGATACCAACTTCTCTGATGCTGCCATATAGAGAATTCACTGTGTCCCCTCTATCTTACCCTTAGGCCTTAGTAATTGGGTCTTCTTTCCACTTGGCTGTAATTTGTATGGGTCAATTGGAGATACTGGCAAGCAGAATAATCTCTATAAATTAATCTAATGAAGATACAAGACTGAAATTCCAATGGCAAATTGCTTAAGTAGGAATGGAGTTTTTCTTAAGCCAATGGCAAATTGCAATCTATCAAGAAAAACCCCATTACTGGCATGCCTCTTCCTAGCAGCGAACTTTTATGCATATCTGGTTCATTTGCTATCATTGTGCCTTGTCTTGACTTTTGTGCATTTAGAGTTGGTAATTAGCCATTGCAATTAAGATTATTTTAATATCGTGTTTTGTCATTCACAATACAAAACAGTGAACTCTATTGTTTTTGTTTTTAGTGCAAAAAGTTGGGATTACGGGGTAGAATTATCTATCATGTTAATAAGAAACTGATATCTGCCTTAAATCTGCAGTGCTTTCTTACTGGTGTGAAGGGCTTTCAGTATAAACAGAGTAGTAAATACGAGCTTCGAGTTTATGTTGATGATGGCAGCCTAATCTCTGAGATCCTTATAGATCATGCTGTAAGTTATTGAAGACTGGACCCTGACTGTCAGAATCTGGTTATTGTTTAACTTTTGTCTGCTTCAGCTTGTGCAGAAAAAAATAGGCTTTTCTCCTGCAGAGGTAAATGCTGCTCTTAGTTCTTCAGATAGCAAACGAGTCAGTGACACGAAGGAGACACTGAAATGTTTCCAGAAATTCTTGATTAATTTTGAGGTATTTCACTGCTATCCATGAAGGGAATTTTGTTGATAGAAAACTCCACATGAATCTTCTAAGTTCATATTTGTTTGTTGGATCAGTGCAACTACATCTCTCCAAGTGAAAAATATGCGTCCAGGGATAGATCTTAATGGCATGACTGCATGTATTTGATTAATAAACCGTGTCAACCCCAAATTATTGATCCTTTCATTAATCATTACATGAATCATGAAAAATAATAGAATACAAATGATTATTTCTATGATTAATAATAACTCGATTGTTGCTGACGTTAAAGCTATTACCTGCTGAAGGATTATGATCTCGTAAAATTAGTACTTCAAAAATATGCTCTGTGCATGAAAATGTCTTGGGCAATGTGTCTTGCAGGGAACAATGCTTGTTCATTTGAATGAAGAATCTCCAATTCCAGTTGCTACTGAAATGAACCAGGGGTGTTCTGCCTCTGATGCATGGTTGCTTCTCAAAAGACTAAAACCTTCTACTTCTCCGCGACAACATCATCTTCATCACCCAGAAACCATCAATTTATCCCCTTGATGTCTCGTTCGTTCTCTGGAGAGATTCAAAACCACGAGAGCAAGGTGAGTTACACAGGACATTGGTCAATTCAGAAAGTTGTTGCATGGAATGACACCCTCAGAAGCAATAGCGTAAATGCAGAAATAATTCACCTTTGATCCAAACAATGAAATGACTTCTCAAATTGCGTAGCCAGGGTGTATGAGGGGGGGTCCAACCTAACCTTCTTCCTCGGAAAATTACAATGTACATATAAGGTCAATTAGCTAGATTCATTTTGTTTTCTGTTATTCGTCTTTTATCTCAAGAAGATTTAAGAATTTGAATTACTATATATTAACTAGAAATTCTTTTCGAACATAGATTTTGAAGTCTATTTGATATATTTAGTTCCTTTTTTTCCCTTCCCTTTTCTTGATAATTACTTTCAATTTGATCGTGTAGCTATTCTTCTTTTATCTTAAACAATGTAATTTTGAAATCCTTAATTGAATTATAATGTCCATTGTACAATACATTTATTACTTCTTCCAGTCCAATTTTAATATATGTTACATTTTCCATTTTGAGACGTGTCGAATGTTTTCATTCTACTAGGAGTAATAATATACTCTTTACGTTTTAATTTGTTTGTCTAACTTTCCTTTTTAGTTTGTTAAACAAAGAATGTATATCCCTTTTCGATAACTTTTTGATTCCATTAAATCATATAGGAGTAATACATTTTCCATTCCATGTCAAGTCAAAATAGGAAAAACAAATTGAAATAGATGAATAAATGATACTCTCTCCGTCCCAATTTATGTGAGACTTTTCGGATTTTGAGATTCAAACAAGTCTATTTTTAATCGTAAGTTTTTTATATTGAATTGCCAATTATTTTGACTTATAGTATTTTTTACGTAGTTTACAAATATATAAATTTACGTTGTTACTTCAGTACTTATGTTTGTGATAAATAACAAATATCTCGTGAAATAGTTACGTTCACAAGTTAAATTCAATTTAAGCTTTCCATTTTTCCCTTAATAGTAAAAATATTCGTCTAGTCAATCATGTTATAACATGTCTAAAAGTCTAATAATCATATAAATATCATATCACATTTAAAACTAATAAAAAAAAATCATTTTTTTTAATTTTTTTTTTATGCTCAATTAAATAAGTTCGAATAAATCAAAACGAAATAAAAATAAATACTTTTGCAAATTGAGGGAAGTGATGAAAAGCATGAATTATAGAAAGAGAAGAAAAAGTGTGGACAAAGAAACCCCCCCAAAAAAATAATAATTGAAGCATAGAGCTTACAAGTCGCTACGAAATAAAAGGCAAGTCCTATAAATATTTGTTGCCAACTATTCCTTTCTAAACTCTCTCACTTCTCTCTTCATTTTCATAACTTTTTTCTCATTTCCACACTTTCAAATCTCTTACTTTCTCTCTCTAGCTTCTTGAAAAAACTAATCTCCTTTGTCTATACAAGAACAATAAAAAAAGAAGAGTTTTTGGAGCTTATTTTTCAACCCATATTGATCATTGAGGATATAAAAGAAAGAAAACCCCCTTAAAAAAATTGTGAGTTATCTCTTTTTATACAAAAAGTTTATATCTTGAATCACGATAACAATAATTCGAATCAAATAGTTCCTCCAATGTTTGTTATTGACACTTGTTGAGATAGACAAATTAAGAATTATTTTTGTTAGACAAGTTATGAATAGTACTAAGGGAGTTGATCGATATGAATCTCTTATTTTGTAATGATGCATATTGTTAATTATTATTAATTGTTATGTTTCGCTTTCTATCTCTGTAAAAGGTAATCTTGACATGCAAACTTTGAAACACTTATATTATTTCTTACTAATTTAAATTCCTTTTTTTTTTTTTAATTTGTAGGAATATTTGAAAACTTGATGGCCCCAAGTGGAGGAGGAGTGAATAAAAACAACGGGACATCAATATCGAGAAATCATAATGGAGGTGGAGGAGGACTAGGGGCAAGACAGTTAAAAAAAGGTCCATGGACAACAACGGAAGATGCGATTTTGATGGAGTATGTGAAGAAACACGGAGAAGGGAATTGGAACGCGGTTCAAAGGAATTCGGGTTTAATGAGATGTGGGAAGAGTTGTAGGTTAAGATGGGCGAATCATTTGAGGCCTCATCTAAAAAAAGGTGCATTTTCTTTAGAGGAAGAAAGGCTTATTGTGGAACTTCATGCAAAACTTGGAAACAAATGGGCTCGTATGGCTGCTCAGGTTTGTTTATTTATTCTTCGATAAGAATTAATACGATTTTTTGGCTCATCATTTTCTTATGAATGCGATCTAAACATTAATTAACACCTATATAAAAAGCAGAATTCATGATTCAAAATCTTGGTTCTAATTCTTCATCTCTTTTTTAAATACAATTTGTGTTAGACTATATATGTGTGAAAAGATTGGTTATATATAACGAGCTGAATTCATCGATTCAAAATCTTGATTCTCATCTCCTTTTTCCGACACAATTTGTGACTAACTCAGATTATTTGAAAAAAGTCCTTCTCATTCTTCATCATCAATCGATTGATTCAGCGTAAATCTGAATTAGTCGGATCAATAGATTTCAAATATTGTCACACATCTACGTACATATCTATATGATATTGTGTGGTTCTAGTAAATAAGCTATAGTTACCACCAAAATATATGCAAAATCGATTTTGATCCAAAAATCTTTAAACTTTTAAAATCTTGAATCTGTCTACGTCAACATCACTAGAATTGTGTTTCATCAACTCTTTTTGTACTAATTAATGTCAAATGTACTAATTATTTCTTTTTATTCTTATTCAACATACACAGCTTCCTGGTAGAACAGACAATGAGATCAAGAATTATTGGAACACGAGGCTAAAGAGAAGACAAAGAGCCGGATTACCAATATACCCTCAAGACATACAACCACAAAATTACCAACAAGACCAAAATCAACAACATAGTACTAATATCCCTTCACCATTTGATAATCATCAAAACTCCAATTACAACAATAATTCCCCTCTTTCCCTTTTAGATATCTTCAATCCTTCAACAATGAAACCTAGTAGAAACATTATTCCACATCAATACCAATTCAACAATAATCCTAGTTCTCCATTTCTCACAAACACAAATAATATCAACAACCAAGTCAAGTTTTTTCGCGACCCTCGCGTTAGCCTCTCTCTAACATTAGCATCATCGATGAAGAATTCACAACTTTCTTCAATGGTAGCACCCGTGCCTAATAATTTTAGTCAAGGTTATTCTAGTTCAATGCCGGTCCCACCACTTCAACATACCTATCCAAATTTCACCACAACTACTAGACCTTATACCGCGATTTCCTCAAACCCTAATGGTTTAATCTTAGGTATGCGTGCCTTAGCCAAATAAATTTAATTTGTTCATATTTGTTAATTCATTTCATATTTTCTCAATTGTACTTGTATTTTCACCAACAGGTATGGGCATAGAGCATCGTTCAGTCCAATCGTCTGTGCCTAGAAATACAAGTACATTAAGTGATCATGCTGATAATAATTACACGGTTAATCATGGATTATCGCGAGGAAATAGTGGATTATTAGAAGATTTATTGGAGGAATCTCATACTTTAACAAGAGGTGAAAAAATTGAGGAAAATTGTCCAATTAATGAAAATGAAGATAATAATAAAGGGAAATTAGTTTGGGAAGAATATGGATTAACAGAAGAAGCAGCAGATGCAATTTTAACTGAAGAATCAACATATAATTTTGCTCATAAACATTCTGAAGATTCAAGTTCTCCCAATTCATCCTCAGGTAATAAATTCTCCATTAATTTTAAATCGAATTTAACTTATATACACATGAAAAAATGGAAAATTACGATAGAGCTCTAATTGAAATTTAGCTTGTCGAAAAATTACATTGTGCAAATAGAGTAAATATATATGATCTTTTTTGGTTATATCTGATCTGTTGAATTTCTTTGACATGAAGAAAAATTCAAATATAGTGATAAAGGGGATTCAAAATTGATTTAGGTCGTACGTTCTAATTACAACTAACATTCTAGAATTTTTTTGAATTTCCTTATATAAATTTCTGGTTCAACTACTATTATTGACGATAAAAAATTTCAAAAATACTTTTCAATATTTCACATTTTTAGTATTGTAAATTGTCAAATTAAGAATAATAATGCAGAAAGTTACCCATTGTCCTAGTTAGGTTATCTTAAGCTATGATATATATTAACTTATGTAAACTTACTTAATATGTTTAGTATTTTTTTTATAACTTATGAGTTTAATTAAGTTCTATAGATTAACGATGTTAAAATTATTTATTTAATTAGATAATATTAAAGTGTATTGAAGGTAACTTTATTTATAAGAATTTATTTGTAACCTATTGTAAATGGTAAGTAACCTACTATATATTATAACTTGCTAAATGAGACTTGAAGTAAAATTACTTACCATTGTATATAACTTATCTCCTAACACACAAGAAAAGTTAGAATTAGCTATAAACTCTGTCGTTAATTTGTTGCTTAGTTGCTAGTAGTTAACATAGTTTTTTTTTTGATAATTTGTTGCTAAATAAAGTTACATAATTTGTCTGTTGCTAATTATTTTTTCTTTTTTTTTAATAAAATAAAATAGTGTAGTAATATTAATTTTATTTTCTTATATTTAATTCATTTTAGAAATTGAATAACTTTGTATTAATGTTTTTTTCTTATATATATAGGGATAACAACAAAGGAAGCCTCATTAGAGAATATGGGTAATCAAGTGGATGATGATATTATGAGATTTCTTGATAATTTTCCACTTGGTGTACCTGTTCCTGATTGGTGTGATGATCAACAAAATACATCCAATGGTCAATCTTTTGAATGTGACCAAATTCAATTGTCCTCAAAATCAAGTTCATGAAGACTCAAAATCGCAGATTTGAAGTTTATCAGTTTTTTATACAACAATTTCAAATATAATAATTAGTCAAATAGTTATAGATGTTTAGAAAAATTCTTAATACATAGACGAGATCTGTGTGTAGGGTACACGTGAACCCGTAAGTTACAAGCTAGATCCGTCTCTTTGAGGATTATCAAGAATAGGAAATTGGAGCATGTTGTTGGATTAACATGCCTTTTGTTTTAGTTAATTAAAAGTAGTAAAGACATTTATTTATATTCATAAATTTGCCATTAAGTAAATAGCAAAGATTGCAAGTTGTTAATTTTTTTAATTTTCTTTTGCTTTAGGTTAATATTTAGACTGATTAATGATAATTGGTCATTGATCAATTGTCTTGGCTTTATTTGTTGTGATGAAACAAATAAACTTGTTGTTTGAGTTATATGCCTAATTTTAAGATGTGTTTAACTTTTATAAATCGATAATTTTTATACTATTGGGTAATTTGTAAGATAATTATCTATAATAAGTAAAGTTAATAACATGAATATTAAGACAAGTAATTAGCTTTTTTGCAGCAAGTTTAGTCATCACAAATCAATTTTTTGTGATGACTAAACTTGCTACAAAAAGCTCCGAAAATTATTACCACTAATAATGGCGATTCTAGGATGGTTCCTAGTAGATTGTAGAGGTGGACATGGTACGATATGTTACGGTATTAAAAATTTTGTTTGATAATTTAGGTTTTTGGTTTTTAAAATAATATAGTAGAGTAATTCGATATCGTTCAATATTTTTACGTTGAATTTGAATTTGAATTTTTCACGATCGATATAATAAATAGATAATCATAGTTTAATCGCTTTTGACTTACATATAATCATATAATAGATATACAGAGAATTATGATTCGAATTTTTAAAAAAATTCCCAATTATACCATGCTTAACACCTTAAACATGTGGAGATAGTCGAAAGAAAATACAAGCAATTTTCTTCATTAATTAACTAATTACACAGAGAATGAAATTTCAATCAAGATGAAAGAGTCAAAATTCTAACGTCTAAATAATTACTTTTATATTACTAACTAGTGTACTTATCCGCGCTTCGCGCAAAATTGAATATATTTTTTAAATAATTGACGTCGTTAATTGACTATTTTTCAATAAAAAGTGTATAAAAAAATACAAATCAAGTCACGATCGTGATGTTGTCTATTCAGAAAATTGCTAGAAAGATGTTTTCAAACTTTAATTTCCGCTTAACATTGCCGATCATAAAAAGAAGAAAACGTAAAAAGTATCTTGAGAAAAAAAATTAAGTTGATTATATAACATTACATCGGAGATTTTACTTTGCAATAGAAAATAAAAGAATTGAAACACATAGTATATAATAAAATGTGTATTTATAAAAAGTCATGATGTCGTTAGTAATTTGATGTGTACTTATCTACTCGATTATATAAAAATTATCATAGAATGACAAAATATGAAAGGTGTACCAAGAGTTGGATCAATGTTTGTCCCTAACACATGTAGAGGAGTGGAAGAGTTTTATAACATTAATCTAATTATTATTGTAGTCATCACAAAAAAAAATTAATATATGATAATAACTGTTCAAAAAATAACTCTTTTTTTAATGTGAAAAATTAAGATAGATAATTTTTCCTTTAAATAATTACAAGGTAAATACATATTAATCACAAATGCACATTGATTATAGCATAACTATAAAATAACTTTTCATTATATATGTACACATAAATGAGAATTCTTTCTTCATTCTTTTCATTAAATAATTTATTTATTAGTTAAAAGTTTCAAAAATATTAAAAAGATGGTTTATTTATTTATTTTGTGATTGATTTCTAGTATGATAGACCACATCATATATTTTTAGGGACAATAATATCTTATAGCCATGATAAATATATCATAGGTGATATTATACCTTTCAAAAATGACAAAAATTTAGAATGTTAATTAGAAATTGACAAACAGATACACACATGTAAAGGAGTGGCATAGTTTTATAACATTAATCTAATTATCATTGTAGTCATCACTAAAAAAATTTAATAATTGTAGTCATCACTAAAAAAAATTAATATATGATAATAACTATTCAAAAAATAACTCTTTTTTTTAATGTGAAAAATTAAGATTCCTTTAAATAATTACAAGTTAATTACATATTAATCACAAATGCACATTTATTATATCATAACTATAAAATAACTTTTCATTATATATGTACACATAAATGGGAATTCTTTCTTCATTCTTTTCATTAAATAATTTATTTATTAGTTAAAAGTTTCAAAAATATTAAAAAGATGGTTTATTTATTTATTCATTTTGTGATTGATTTCTAGTATGATAGACCACATCATATATTTTTAGGGACAATAATATTTAATAGCAATGAGAAATATATCATAGGTGATATTATATCTTTCAAAAATGACAAAAATTTAGAATGTTAATTAGAAATTGACAAACAGATACAAACATGTAAGGGAGTGACATAGTTTTATAACATTAATCTAATTATCATTGTAGTCATCACTAAAAAAATTTAAGAATTGTAGTCGTCACTAAAAAAAATTAATATATGATAATAACTATTCAAAAAATAAATCTTTTTTTAATGTGAAAAATTAAGATAGATATTTTTTCCTTTAAATAATTACAAGGTAAATACATATTAATCACAAATGCACATTTATTATGGCATAACTATAAAATAACTTTTCATTATATATGTACACATAAATGAGAATTCTTTCTTCATTCTTTTCATCAAATAGTTTATTTATTAGTTAAAAGTTTCAAAAATATTAAAAAGATGGTTTATTTATTTATTCATTTTGTGATTGATTTCTAGTATGATAGACCACATCATATATTTTTAGGGACAATAATATCTAATATCCATGAGAAATATATCATAGGTGATATTATACCTTTCAAAAATGACAAAAATTTAGAATGTTAATTAGAAATTGACAAACAGATACACACATATAAAGGTGTGGCATAGTTTTATAACATTAATCTAATTATCATTGTAGTCATCACTAAAAAAAATTAATAGATGTTAACTATTCAAAAGACAACTCCTTCTTTAATGTGAAAAATAAGATAGATAATTTTTGCTTTAAATAATTATAAGTTAAATATATATTAATCACAAATGCACATTTATTATAGCATAATTATAAAATAACTTTATATTATATATGTACAAATAAATGAGAATTTTTTTTTCATTCTTTTCATTAAATAATTTATTTATTAATTTAAAGTTTTAAGAATACTAAAAAGATGGTTTACTTATTTATTTTGTGATTGATGTCTAATCTGATAGACCATATAATATATTTTAGGGGTAACAATATCTAATAGATATGAGAAATGTACCATAGGTAATATTATACGCTTCAACAATGACAAAATAAATTAGAATATTAATTAGAAATTGACAAACATATACACACAAAAACACAAACAAAAACGTGATACTTTTCATCTTCATTCATTCGCATAATAACAATGTTAGTAGATATATCAAAATAAAATAAAAAAGAATAGAATAATATTAATTGAAATCAAAACAATACATTAATGAAATTTCAAAATATTTGGAAACCATTCAAACTTTTATACTAATATCATGACCATCTCTTTTGATGAATCTTCCAAGATAATTAAGCATTTTTCTTCATTTTGATGAACTTGTACCAAACTAATGTGAACATCTCTATGATGAATCTTTGAAGAATATATCTATGATCTTTATCAAAGTGAAGACCATATCATGACATTATTAAGTACATGAAATATGAAAGAGATAGAAAGAAAACGAAAGAATGAAAAAGTGGAAATGAACACTGAACATCTCTAAAGATGATTGTTATTTATAAATTGGGTAAACCATAACAATAGTTAGAAAGGAGTTGAAGAGACATGTTATTTAAGTAGAGAAGATAAATAAATGGAGGTTTTTTTTGTAACTTATTAGACATGATTAGAATAGTAAATATGATTGAATTTTAAAATTAATAAACAAAATATTTATTGAGAAAATGAAGAAAAAAAACCAAAAGAAGGAGAAAAAAAATAAATAGGAATGGAGGCCATAGAGAGGTGTCACATCACCTCCTCTATGTTTCTCCTTTATATATATACTAGACATCGGAGCCCGTGCTAGCACGGACCCAATATGTATCATTTTTTGTTTCAATTTATGTGACAAAGACAAAATTAAAGAGTTAATCAAACTTTAATATTAATTTAAAATAGTTTAAATCTTTAATTATTGTTAACTATGGTAAAAAATTTTTTATGTCTTTTAACATTCTAAATTGCTAATTATTGTTGTATGATTTGTAATATCTTTTACGCAATTTTGAAATAATAAAGGTTATTTCTTCTTTCTCAATTTATGTGGTACTAATAAAATTTCGAGATTCTATGAATTTTTTTTGTCTTTAAAATATTCTATTGTTAATTACTGTAAATTATTGTACTTTCTAAGTAATTTTCAAATAATATATATTATTTCATTTGTCCAATTTATGTGTCACTGATAAAATTTGAAGAGTTAATCAGATCTTTTACATATTTTTATATCTTTTGAATATTTAAGTAAATAATTATTGTGATTTATGATATTTTATACAATTATTTTTTTAAAAATAAACAACAAACAAAACGAATTCATCATAGGAAAATTACCAAAACGTCCTTGAATACATTAATAATGGGTCCCACTTTTTGTTTAAAAAAAATATGCATATTGGGAGGATATTTTTGTCCAAAGTGGAAATAGAATAAGTATAAAGCATTAAAGTCTTTTAAAATTTTAAATTGTTAATTCTTATTGTATGATTTGTAATACTTTTACGTCATTTCCAAATAATAGAGGTCATTTCTTCTTTCTCAATTTATGTAGTACTAAAAAAATTTGAGATTCAATCAATTTTTTTTGTCTTTGAAATATTTCTAGCTGTTA